ACTCATAGCATTGTGGGAAAATTCAACTGCCAATCCTTCTTGTAGCTACAAACCTGGCTTTTCGTTATATTCAAAACAATAGAATAATATATTTAAAACTCTACTGCATATAGTGCAAATTGCACATTTTTGTGTTAACATCATTGCGTCATTTATGATGCAACTACTCTTTTGCCATCTAATTAAGTAGGCTACTAAATGTTCAATGGATCCTGATGATAGACTGCTATAGATGGAGTAGGAAATATGGTCGTATTTCGCACAATGAAATCAGTGGAATAGATGCCAAAGGAAAAGACAGACGGAAAATAACATCGGTAACAATGTTCCAGAAAAACGAACCGACAACTGGCCAACAGGAATCTATAGTCTTCTTGTGATTGGATCCACTTTTGAACCACTTTGCGACGCACTCTTTCGCTCGAAATGGAAATGAGCTAAACAATCACTCTTCGAAGCCAAGCTTTTCTTCGCATATGCGAATACTGCTCCGTCGTGCTAAAACGTTGGCCATTCAAGTTGGAGTAGAAGCTTTAATTTCGTCAGTGAATTTCTCATGGAAACTAGACCTTTCTCTAACAACAGTCGAAAAAGTGTTATGCGCATAATTCAGCAAAGCTGTACACCTCCGCCTAGCAGCCACAGTTGCGACCGAACTACACGACAAGCCAGACCTCTCCATGTCGAAATTAAGTGAGAATGTAGTTTTTCTAGACTACCAGTTAATCGAATATATTAGGTGTGTTCACACTACTGGTAGTCCAGAGAATCTACTCACGAAAAATTAATGTCCTCGATTACTATAGCAAATAAAAGTTGAAGTGTCATGGTTCGACTCCACTGCAGTCCACTTCAGCCGGGATGAGAACGCCTTTTGGAAAGCAAAGCTATGTGAAATTCAATGGAAAACATTATCTCTACTCATATCATTGTGGGAAAATTCAACTACCAGTCCTTCATTTCCTTAAACGAAATAGAGTGAACATAACTCAGAGATTGTAGATTAGGCAAATATTGATTTGGTGTATTAAGGTAAAATATTTTCAGAAAGTTCCTTTGGCATATCAGTGATGGCCTGACCTCCTTTCTTACGGAGGGTGTGTGATGAGGAATTGTTCGAGTCGCAACTTCCTACTTGTCGTTGGATAACTGGATGCATGAAAATTTTATAGCAAGGAAAGACTGGCCGGCTAGTAAGTTCGGGTTTCATCATAAGCATGCATACCTTGTCCGACAATTTTTGTCGGATGACTGATGAAATTTCGAAGAAAAGTTGGGTTTAGAGGAATCTATTGTTTCATAATTTTTGTGCATACTTCCATTTCGTGTGAAAGTTTTTTTTTGAAGAAATTCGAAGGTCGATTCCACCAGAAAAGGAGGACGGATTCCTCTTGACCAGCTGTCGATTGGCTTCACTGGAACATTCATGCTGACGCTGTTTCCGAAGTAATCGCCTTCGATACCGGTGAAGAGGTGCTAAGCTTTCGTCCGTCATATGACGGACATCATCAGAGCGAGGTATCATCGTCACAGCCAAATTCAAGCTAACGAATCAAGAAAACTCACCGGCAACTCCTTAAAAAGCGCTATATGTACTTTACATCTGGCCTCTTTGATCAGGTACAAAGTGATTTGGTTAGTTACGTTCATATGTCGACTTCGAAACTAACTTTGGTGGATACAATTCATAGATTGTGGATTAGGCAAATCTGAATTTCGTGTATTAAAGTAAAATATTTTCATAAAATTCCATTGGCCTATCAGTGTTGGTCTGACCTTTCTTACGGAGTCGCAACTTCCTACCTGTCTATGAAGAAAAGTTGGGTTTCGAGGAC